ATCCCTGTGAGTCCAGCTGTGTGTGTGGGGGTCCTGTGAGTCCAGCTGTGAGTGGGGGGGTCTGTGAGTCCAGCTGTGTGTGGGGGGTCTTATGAGTCCAGCTGTGTGGGGGGGGGTCTCTGTAAGTCCAGCTGTGTGGGGGGGGGTCCCTGTGACTCCAGCTATGTGTGGGGGGGGTCTGTGAGTCCAGCTATGTGTGGGGGGGGTCTGTGAGTCCAGCTGTGTGGGGGGGTCTTGTGAGTCCAGCTGTGTGTGGGGGGTCCTGTGAGTCCAGCTGTGTGGGGGTCCTGTGAGTCCAGCTGTGTGGGGGGGTCCTGTGAGTCCAGCTGTGTGGGGGGGCACTGTGAGTCCTGCTGTGTGGGGGGGGTCCCTGTGAGTCCAGCTGTGTGTGGGGGTCCTGTGAGTCCAGCTGTGTGGGGGGGTCCCTGTGAGTCCAGCTGTGTGGGGGGGTCCTGTGAGTCCAGCTGTGTGGGGGTGTCCCTGTGAGTCCAGCTGTGTGGGGGGTCCTGTGAGTCCAGCTGTGTGGGGGTCTGTGAGTCCAGCTGTGTGGGGGGTCCTGTGAGTCCAGCTGTGTGGGGGGGGGTCCCTGTGAGTCCAGCTGTGTGTGGGGATCCTGTGAGTCCAGCTGTGTGGGGGGTGTCCCTGTGAGTCCAGCTGTGTGGGGGGTGCCCCTGTGAGTCCAGCTGTGTGGGGGGGGTCCTGTGAGTCCAGCTGTGAGCCAGTGAGTCATCCCGGGGGGGGGGAAGGATTAATGAGTCAGCTACTCATGTTGTCACTCATCTGGTTCTCTCATTCATTCCGTACTCTGGGCCTCTCTTTGCTAACTTAGGAGTTATTCATCGTATTCACCTCGTGTGTCTCCGTTTATCATGTTTTTTACTCATCATTCGTGTTTTTTTCCGCCTCACTCATTCTTGCTCTCATTTATGCTTGTCCTGTATTCACTTCTCCGCGTTCATCGGTTTATCTTACTCACCCATTCATTATGGTTATTGCGTTTTGTGTCTGTCTCTCTCTCCTGTGTTTATCCGATTATCGAGTTTTTTCTCTGTAAACTCAGTTTATCATTGATTCTTCCTGGCTTCCTTATTCGCTCCCTGTGGATCCTTTTCGTAAGTTATTGATCCGCTTATTCACTAATGCATAAGTCTGCCTCTCTCTCTCTCTCTCTCTCTCTCTCTCTCTCTCTCTCTCTCTCTCTCTCTCTCTCTCTCTCTCTCTCTCTCTCTCTCTCTCTCTCTCTCTCTCTCTCCTCGTCTGTCTCTCTCTCTCTCTCTCTCTCTCTCTCTCTCTCTCTCTCTCTCTCTCTCTCTCTCTCTCTCTCTCTGTCTCTGTCTCTGTCTCTGTCTCTCTCTCTCTCTCTCTCTCGTATTCTTTAATCTTCCTCTTCTTTCCCTTTTGTTTTCTCGCCTCAATTTTATCAATTATTATCTTTTTTACATTGGTCGCCCCGATGCTGTTTTTCACTGTTTAACACATCTCTAACCCTGTCCATGGAGGACAGAAGAAAATGTATATATGGTGGTTAGCATTGTAAATGTCTGGCCACGTCTGTGGTAGAACATAATAATAATAAAAAAAACTGCCCCCATCTGCATAGTAAACATTCAGGAAATTGCCAGTGACGTTTGAATGAATGTGTTAGCTGCTGAAGTAAATATATTTGGGATTAAATTCCTTTGGATACCATCACATGTTGGCATCTCGATCATGATACTGTTGACATGCTTGCAAAGATTAGTAGTAGAAATTAATAATAGGTGTTTCATTATCAATGATAAATAGAGAATACTGAAATAATGGGGCAGAGACATTCTTACAAATCAACACATTCAGAAAGAACTGAACGTTGTGGCATTATATATTCTGATGAATGCCGTGAGGAGAGATTTATACATGGAAGTAATGGAGCTGGAGCTCTGTGATGTGATGTTATAGTGGCCAGAATATGATTGGGTTATAGACGTATCTGGAAGCTCTCTCAAAACTCTAATGTCGAATACACCAAGTGTCGAATACATCAAGTGTCAAGTTTGTGAAAGTGTCGAATACACCATGTGTCAAGTTTGTGAAAGTGTCGAATACACCATGTGTCAAGTTTGTGATAGTGTCGAATACATCAATAGTGTCAAGTTTGTGAAAGTGTCGAATACACCAATAGTGTCAAGTTTGTGAAAGTGTCGAATACACCAATAGTGTCAAGTTTGTGAAAGTGTCGAATACACCAATAGTGTCAAGTTTGTGAAAGTGTCGAATACACCAATAGTGTCAAGTTTGTGAAAGTGTCGAATACACCAATAGTGTCAAGTTTGTGAAAGAGAAGACATGCACTCCCTTGAACATTCCATTGTAGAATGTCCCTTATTTTGACTTTCGCCTCCCCCCCCCCACCCCCCCCTCCTCTGTGATAAACTGAACATATTAACTGAATGTTAACATCTGTAAACATTATCTGAATACAGTGGAACACTTAGCGATATACTGAATACTGATATACTGTTATACTGATATACTATACCCAAGACTGACTATTACACTCATTATGTAATATGTGATAATTTAAGGTTGTAAAATCATCTTTATATCACCTTCTGTGATTGCTGAATGGCTTGTTATGAAACGTAGTGGCTTGTTGTTGTTGTTGTTTAAGATTCGCCACCCGGAACAAACAGTTTCAAGTAGCACGGGCTATGGCGAGCCCGTAAACGTAGTGGGCGCTCTAGCCCCTGGCTATGGCAGAGAGAGGAGAGTGCTTGTGGGTTGGTTACTATTGTGTAAATGTTTGGCCACGTCTGTGGTAGAACTAAACTAATTCTGTTGCTGCTACCACCTGTTTCTACTCCTGCCACCACCTGTTTCTACTCCTGCCACCACCTGTTTCTACCCCTGCCACCACCTTCATCTACCCCTGCCACCACCTTCATCTACCCCTGCCACCACCTTCATCTACTCCTGCCACCACCTTCATCTACTCCTGCCACCACCTTCATCTACCCCTGCCACCACCTTCATCTACCCCTGCCACCACCTTCATCTACTCCTGCCACCACCTTCATCTACTCCTGCCACCACCTTCATCTACCCCTGCCACCACCTTCATCTACTCCTACCACCACCTTCATCTACTCCTGCCACCACCTTCATCTACTCCTGCCACCACCTTCATCTACTCCTGCCACCACCTTCATCTACTGCCACCACCTTCACTCACTACAACTTCTCACAGAGAGAGCCGCCCACGAGGAGTCCTCCCTCCATTCTTCACGATTAAGTATTCAATTGCTCGTTCAGTGTTAACAAACGGGGCGCCACCTTTGCCTCCACTAAACAATGTAATCAGACGGGGCATATATATATATATATATATATATATATATATATATATATATATATATATATATATATATATATATGTCGTACCTAGTAGCCAGAACTCACTTCTCAGCCTACTATTCAAGGCCCGATTTGCCTAATAAGCCAAGTTTTCCTGAATAAATATATTTACTATAATTTTTTTCTTATGAAATGATAAAGCAACCCTTTTCTTTATGTATGAGGTCAATTTTTTTTTATTGGAGTTAAAATTAACGTAGATATATGACCGAACCTAACCAACCCTACCTAACCTAACCTAACCTATATTTATAGGTAAGGTTAGGTTAGGTAGCCAAAAAAAGCTAGGTTAGGTTAGGTTAGGTAGGTTAGGTAGACGAAAAAACATTAATTCATGAAAACTTGGCTTATTAGGCAAATCGGGCCTTGAATAGTAGGCTGAGAAGTGCGTTCTGGCTATTAGGTACGACATATATATATATATATATATATATATATATATATCCCCTTTCTGTGTCCAAGGTAATCAGATGGGGGTACCTCGCCTAATATAATCTTAACAGGGGGCGTATCCCCCCCTTCCGTTTTTATTCCCAAACAAGGCAGTTAGTTAGACACACGGAATAACTAACAGCCGAATGGTTACTTTTTTAATAAAGGGAACATCATGGTCTTTTTTGGTGGTATTTGCCTGTTTCTGGCCACTGTTTTGATAAGAAATACTGTCATAGTTCTTGTGAAATGGGCCTCAAACAGGACTGAAATTGGTCACAAGGAATACAATATGTTTGGTAGGTAAAATCCCATTTGGTAAATATGATGTTGAGATGACTAGGTGGCAAAGCCTTTCCCTTGAAGGTTGAGGCTTTTATTGGTCAATGTCACTTGTAGGTGAAGTGTTGGAGAGCTGTCTGTCTAGATCCTCGAGGTTGACCTTGTCCCCCTCCCACAGTTTTACGTGATGGGGTAGCCACCCATGCCTCTCTCCCACAGTCTTGTGTGATGGGGTAGCCACCCATGCCTCTATCCCACAGTCTTGTGTGATGGGGTAGCCACCCATGCCTCTCTCCCACAGTCTTGTGTGATGGGGTAGCCACCTATGCCTCTCTCCCACAGTCTTGTGTGATGGGGTAGCTACCCATGCCTCTATCCCACAGTCTTGTGTGATGGGGTAGCCACCCATGCCTCTCTCTCCCACTGTCTTGTGTGATGGGGTAGCCACCCATGCCTCTATCCCACAGTCTTGTGTGATGGGGTAGCCACCCATGCCTCTCTCCCACAGTCTTGTGTGATGGGGTAGCCATCCATGCCTCTATCCCACAGTCTTGTGTGATGGGGTAGCCACCCATGCCTCTCTCCCACTGTCTTGTGTGATGGGGTAGCCACCCATGCCTCTCTCCCACAGTCTTGTGTGATGGGGTAGCTACCCATGCCTCTCTCCCACAGTCTTGTGTGATGGGGTAGCCACCCATGCCTCTATCCCACAGTCTTGTGTGATGGGGTAGCCACCCCATGCCTCTCCCACAGTCTTGTGTAATGGGGTAGCCACCCATACCCCCCCCACAGTCTTGTGTGATGGGGTAGCCACCCATACCACCCCCCACAGTCTTGTATGATGGGGTAGCCACCCATACCACCCCCCCCCCACAATAAGATGGGGTACTCACCCTTGTCTCTGCGCCACCTTCATCCACCACCTGGGTATCCTCTTGCTGTGGGCGGGCTCCCCCATCAAGAGGGCGACCAGACACATCCAACCACTCGCCCTCATCGTCACCGCCTCTCTTGGGTCCCTGTTACTACACTACCACCGAACTCCTCCGGACGGGCATCGCCTGGGCCCAATCGTAAACGTTTCCACCCCTCCTGAGCGAGCCGGGTGAAACTTTTTTTATCGGAACGTTAGCGGTTTGTGCGTGCGTGTGTGTGTGTGTGTGTTCGTGCGTGCGTGCGTGCGGCTGGCGTCGCGCGTGTGCGTGTGTGTGTGTGCGTGCGCTCTGGGCGGTGGAGGTCGACTGACTGACTTGACTCCTTGGAGCTGCCGATGGCTATACCAGAGCCACACTCTCACACACTCACACACACACTCACTCACACACTCACACGCCCTCATGCCACCTGTTCCTCCCACGCCCTACCTAGCACGCCCACCCACGCCCACACCCCTCCTCCGGCCCTGACAGAGGTCGCCGCTGCCCACGTCGGTCCCTAGTGCCGCCATGGGTATGTTCAGGGGGTGCCCCACACCCCCCATGAGGACCCCCCCCTTCACTTCTCCCCCCCCCTCTCCCCCATCCATGGGTCCTGCTGCAGGAAAATAAGAGAGGCAGTGTTGGCAGCAGCACATGTGGGTGAGGCTGCCTAACTGGCCTCGTCTCTCTCTCTCTCCTCCCCCTCCCGTAGACTACTCTGCTACCCGACCCCACCCCAACAAAAATAGAATTAAAAATTATCAAAAATTAAAATTTTCCCGGAGGCAGATTTGATTGGGCAGCGGCGGTGGTGATTCAAAACACCATATAACACACCCTCTCCCCCCCCCCCCCCCCCCCCATCAGTAGGAAGAACACCCGCTGGGTTGTTCATCCTGCCACTTGTACCCATCTGGCTGTAACTCGCTCTCGCTAGTTGAACACGTCTCCAAATAAGGTTGAACATCTTGCCCACTGTTAAGGGCAGGTTGTAGTACAGGTTCAACGTGAGGGGGGGGGGGAGTGGAAGCCCTTAGTCTGAATCATGAATCATGAACATGAACATGAATCATGAACATGAATCATGAACATGAATCATGAACATGAATCATGAACATGAATCTGTATATTGACCAGACCACACACACTAGAAGGTGAAGGGACGACGACGTTTCGGTCCGTCCTGGAGCATTCTCAAGTCATTCTCAAGTCGAATGGTTCAGGACGGACCAAAACGTCGTCGTCCCTTCACCTTCTAGTGTGTGGTCTGGTCAACATACTTTAGCAACGTTATTGTGACTCATCGCCTGCATATGGATCTGTATAGTGTGTTATAGTACACAGAGGTCTTTGTTTCTCTTAGATGGGGCATAGTTCCTGTGGTGGTGGTGATCCAGACTATGTCCTTAACTCGCGCTGAACATTCTATAACTTTGCTCCATTGAGCAAAGTTATAGAATGTTGTTTCCTGTTGTTTCCATTGAGCTTCATCCTGAGTACTAATCGTAGCCAAGACCAAGTCTTGCCGTTACCAGAGTGCCCCCTTCTGCCACCTCCTCTTCATCAGTAATGAAATAAAAATAGGAAAGAAAAAACCTTGCGATAGTCGCTGAAATCAAGAGCGCTGTGAGGGTATTAATCAACCAGGGAAGAATCGTCGTTTCTGTGGATCCATGTTGGAATCTGTGGGAATGAACGAGCAGATGTGCTGGCTGCTGCAGGCGCTTCAGGAGACCATATTGAATACTTCATACCCAAGACTCAACTACAAATTAGAGGTATTGTCAGGCAACATCACCGTAACAAGGTAACTGAGGGAAGGAGGATAGAAGAACAAACCAGTGAATCTATACGATGGAACAACATGGTTGCAGCTGGCAATCCCAGTCATTATGGACGAAGAGGAGGTGGCCGTGGGAGAGAATCAGTAATAACGGGAATCCGTCTTGGATACAAATATCCATGGAGATTCGGAATTGAAACAGTTGAGCAACGGAGTTGCAGAATCTGTGGTGAGAGTGACGGACACCGCCTTGACCACTACCTGAGAAAATGTGAACACTTGAGAGACATTAGAAATATGTGTAGAATAATAAACCCCACATTGTTTGAGATAGGAAAACACTATTTGTCAAATATTGATACTGTTCTTAAAAGATTTCCCCATTTTGCACCCGCAAGATAACGTAAGATTTTAAGGGTTGACAGACGTTAATCTTCTAGTTTGAGGAGCTGTTCACTTGAGACAGTTAAGCAAGTCCCAGCTGTGTCTGGGTACAAGTGACAGTATGAACAACCCAGCGGGGTTTTCTTCCTATTGGGGAGTGTTGTACATGCTGCTATGGCGGTGTGTCCACTCACAGGATGAGTGACGCTGCCCAATACTGTCACTATGGCGGTGTATCCACTCACAGGATGAGTGGCGCTGCCCAATACTGTCACTATGGCGGTGTGTCCACTCACAGGATGAGTGACGCTGCCCAATACTGTCACTATGGCGGTGTGTCCACTCACAGGATGAGTGGCGCTGCCCAATACTGTCACTATGGCGGTGTGTCCACTCACAGGATGAGTGGCGCTGCCCAATACTATCACTATGGCGGTGTGTCCACTCACAGGATGAGTGGCGCTGCCCAATACTGTCACTATGGCGGTGTGTCCACTCACAGGATGAGTGGCGCTGCCCAATACTGTCACTATGGCGGTGTGTCCACTCACAGGATGAGTGGCACTGCCCAATAAACTCGCCCCGCGGGGCAAAAATACAATTTTTTAAATCCACTGACCTGATCTTTTCCTCCTGATTGATTGATGAAGATTAAGCCACCCAAGAGGTGGCACGGGCATGAATAACCCGTGAGCCAAATGGGTTTTTTCCCCCCTTTTCCTCCTTTCCTCGACTCCTTTATCACGGTGATGGTGCCTGGTGACCCGCCTTTCAGACTTGTAAGGTGTTGCAGGATTGAGTTCGCTCACGCAGTGTTCAGTAGGGTCTGCGTCACCACCCATGACAGGGAATCCTGAACTACACGTTTACCAGATTTCTAACCCCCGTCGACGGAGGACAGAAGAAAATGTATATATACTGGTTAGCATTGTAAATGTCTGGCCACGTCTGTGGTAGAAACAAGAAAGCGATGGAGGGGGATCGAGAGGGACTTGATCGTCCATCCTAACCTCAAAGCCATTTTCACCTTCGTCTTTGATATCAGCGTCGCTCTGTTTTTATGCCTGGTCATATTACTGAGGTTTTGCAGTGCCAAGTCTTTGAGTCAGAGCAGATCACTGTTTCCCTCGTGCTTGGCTCTGGATATCTTAACGCCATGACAGTGGCAGTGAGTTACGCTTCAGGGGCCAGATTCACGAAAGCACTTACGCAAGCACTTACGAACGTGTACATCTTTCCTCAATCTTTGACGGCTTTGGTTGCATTTATTAAACAGTTTACAAGCATGAAAACTTGCTAATCAACTGTTGTTATTGTTATAAACAGCCTCCTGGTGCTTCGGAGCTCATTAACTGTTGAACAATTGGAAACAAAGCCGCCAAAGATTGAGAATAGATGTACAGGTTCGTAAGTGCTTGCGTGAATCTGGCCCCTGGTGAGGAGTTGTGTCTCAATCTCTGTTTTTTCGTCATTTCCGTTAAGGAAGCCGTTATTTCTGATTACAGCGTCCGCTGTTCCCGCCGTGTTATTAGTTCGGTTAGCTGGTCCTTCACTGTAGATATGATCTAATTCGTTTCCGGCTTCTCTGTTAATTTCATCGAGATAAACAGGTTTCGTTCTTTTTGAGGTAACATGTTGGGACTACTTCTATATATTGCAACTGTAGGTGATTCACTCTTCCAGGGAGCTGGCAGCCCCTACACCCGTCAACCACACGTGGTTGTTCCATCATGTTGTTGTTTTAGATTCAGCTACTTGGAATAAAATGTTCCAAGTAGCACGGGCTATGGTGAGCCCGTAGTGGACTTATTATTCCAGCAGCTGGAGTTTTAACAATCGGTTTCTTGATCTTTAATGTTGGAATTATAGTTCGTGTTGCAAGTTCGAGGTTTGGGTTCCCTTTCGTACTCCATTTTCGTGATTGCTTTTTTTTGGATTCAGTTTATATTGTTGTGGCTCTGTTTTGTACGCTTATAAGACTTTCGTATTGTCTGATACGAATAACCTGTTGGTTAGTTGACCAGTCCACACACTAGAATGTGAAGGGACGACGACGTTTCGGTCCGTCCTGGACCATTCTCAAGTCGATTGTGAATGGTCCAGGACGGACCGAAACGTCGTCGTGCCTTCACATTCTAGTGTGTGGTCTGGTCAACATACTTTAGCCACGTTATTGTGACTCATCGCATGTTGGTAAGGTTTTTGGAAGTTTTAGTGGACTTTGTTTGACATGTTTTGTCTGGTTCACTGTGTTCTTACTGGTTTATCATGTTTTGTCTGGTTCACTGTGTTCTTACTGGTTTATCATGTTTTGTCTGGTTCACTGTGTTCTTACTGGTTTATCATGTTTTGTCTGGTTCACTGTGTTCTTACTGGTTTATCATGTTTTGTCTGGTTCACTGTGTTCTTACTGGTTTATCATGTTTTGTGTACCGGTTATTTTGCATTACAAGGTCTTCGTAACCTGGTTATTGTAAGGTGTGTGTGTAATTCCTAAGTGTAATTACCTAAGTGTAGTTACAGGATGAGAGCTACGCTCGTGGTGTCCCGTCTTCCCAGCACTCTTTGTCATATAACGCTTTGCGTTATATGACGTGTGTGTGTGTGTGTGTGTGTGTGTGTGTGTGTGTGTGTGTGTGTGTGTGTGTGTGTGTGTGTGTGTGTTTGGCTACTGACTTTTCTCTACCAATGTAAATCTCTCGCTCTCTGGCTCTCGCTCTTGCTCTCTCTCTCTCTCTCTCTCTCTCTCTCTCTCTCTCTCTCTCTCTCTCTCTCTCTCTCTCTCTCTCTCTCTCTCTCTCTCTCTCTCTCTCTCCCTCTCTACCTCTCTCCCTCTCTCCCTCTCTCCCTCTCTCCCTCTCTCCCTCTCTCCCTCTCCCTCTCTCCCTCTCCCTCTCTCCCTCCCATCCTTGCCGCTTTCCCCTCCCAATTCGACCTACCCAACCACTTGGGCTGGACGGTAGAGCGAAGGTTTCGCTTCATGCAGGTCGGCGTTCAATCCCCCGACTGTCTAAGTGGTTGGACACCTTTTCTTTCCCCCGTCCCATCCCAAATCCTTATCCTGACCCCTTCCCAGGACTATATACTCGAAATGGCTTGGCGCTTTATCCTGATAGTTCCATTCCCTTCCCAATACGACTCCCATTCCTTGTCGCTCCCTGTCCTGGCACGACCCCCTTGCCCCCCCCCCT